GTGAGCATGCTTGTGGAGGCCAGCGAAGAGAATCATGGGGAGAACACATGCAGGGCAACGTAAAAGATAAAGAAAAAGAATAGGGAGCACCACCGAAAGCAAAAAAAAAATATATATAAATAAATAAATGAATAATATAAAAGAATGATGGTGTATCTGGCACCATGTGCGAGAAAATATATATATATATATATATATATATATATATATATAAATAAATGAATGGTGGATCAGCACCATATGAAATATATATGTATATATAGACACTAAATGAAATAAAGCTCATTTATTGATATTTCCAATAAGTTACAAATATGTACATATACATGAATCAAAATAAACAAACAAGAGGGAGCCTTCACAAAGGTTGCTCATGAGAAGTCTCAGCAGTCGGCAGAGCCCCAGATCGAAGAGGCACCATAGGGTGATTATTCAGAGCCTCAGTACTAGGCAGAACCCCAGGAGGAGGAGGCACTGAAGGTTAATCATTTGGAGCTTCATTACGCAGTACAGCCCTAGAAGACGAAGGCAAATGTTGTTGGAACAAACCCATAAACCTCTGATGATCAAGTAAAATCTGACCATCAGATTCCTTCATCTGGTCAATCTTCCTCTTCATGTTTGTAGCATAGTTATGTGCGAGCCTGTGCAACTGTTTATTCTCATGCTTGAGCCCTCTAATCTCCTGTTTAAGACTCATCACTTAAGCCGCCAATGATTCAACTTGACGGGTTCGAGCAAATAGATGTTGGGCCATATTAGACACAGAACCTGCACGCTGCACACTGAGAGCCAGAGAATCCTTAACAGCCAACTCATCAGACTGTTTGGAAAGTAGTCTGTTATCTTTAGGAGTGACAAGGTTCCGGGCCACCACCGCAGCGGTCATATCATTTTTCATCATCGAATCCCTAACGGTGAGAGGACCAGTAAGGGATATGAAGGATGGGTGCCATATGTTGTTTGGAGAGGCATGGATGCCTCTTCACCAAGGTTCAAGTCAAAATGACGGTCGGAGGGGCCAGACATTTTCAAAGGTGTTGAAGAAAGAAGAGGTCGGACAAATTGAGATCTTAGAAGTGCAATGAAGGGAGTTTCTACAGGCAGAAATTCATGTGTGCTTTGAAACGAACTGTGCGCCTCTATAAAAATCAGCACTCGATGGGATTTCAGAGATTGAAGAGGCGAGCTCAGAAATCGAAGAGGCAAGCTCAGAAATCGAATAGGCCAATTAAAAAATCGAAGAGGCGCTAGCTTTCTCAAAAGCTGGGCTTGCTCAGAAACCACGGGCTAATCTTCTTTTCTAGATTCGTCCGCACTTGTCACATGCAACCTCTGCACTCGACGGAGCTCAGAACTTGAAGAGGCGAGCTCAGAACTTGAAAAGGCGAGCTCAGAACTCGAAGAGGCAAGCTCAGAAATCGAAAAAACATCTGCTTTTCCTGACATGTCAGCATCTGTCACATGCACACTCAGCTTTGCAAAAATCACGAACAGTTTGTTGAAGCGCTGATTCTAGATATCGAAGAGGTACTTGCTTTTCCAGACGTGTCAGCACCTGTCACATGCACACTCAGCCTTGCGGAAATTATGGGCAATCTGTCGAAGATTTCTTGTGAAGTACAAGGCACGTGAAGTTTACTGTTTAATCATCCAACGGTTGCCGACAAGAGTGAAAGAATAGTACCGGCTATTAATTCCTATAAATGTCAACCTTCACCCTCCATTGCAAGGCAGACATGCATAACCTTTCTTCATCTCTGAGAATGCCTTCTCAACGAAGCCTTTTGAGTCACTCAGTGTTCCTTATTCCTTGGGGTACCTCTGCAAACAACTCATCCAAAGCAAAAGTATTTCATATCATGAAGGTTGAAAGCAAGAGTATCTCATATCATGCTTTCTCCCTATCCTTCTCTTTGTCTTTGTTTTCATCTGGGGGACAAGGAGAAAGAGAGCAATCAGCCAGCACTTGGTATCAATCTTCCGATCTGGAATCGACTGCCTGGAACCCTTTCTTGATTGCTTACCTAGCCTTGCTCTCGAGTACTCATCTTCAACATCTTATGCTTCCTCTTTGTCTACCACATCTGCCTGGGGAACAAATAAGGGAAGTGAAAATGATACCTCGAAGCATGTGGAGACATGTGCTAATTCATCCTCAGCTAGGGACAAGGAGAAAGAAAGCAAATGGTCGGCACTTGGAAAGATTGAAAAAGGAAACAGATCATCACCTCTACCTCGTGTCTGCCTGCCATGCAAAAGAAACAAGCAGAGAAGAATGCAAACTGCGCATTCAAATCAACCCAGCAGAATGAGTCTGATTTGAAACCAAGGAACTCTTATATTCCTCGCTCAGAATTCCAAACCCAGTTCAAGAGAAGCTGTGGAAAGTCAACAATTGGAAGACGCCAAAAGATCCTCCAACCCAGTTCAAGAATAAGCTGTGGAAAGTCAACAGTTGGAGGAATCCAGAAAATACTCCAACCCAGTTCAAGATCAAAGCTATGGAAAGTCAACAAGCACAACAAAATACGTGCCGATTCATCCACTACCAAAGCCAAAGATCATCTACCACGTAAAGCTTCTGGTGGTCCAATTCCAACCTTCAAGAACAAGCCTCGATTGCCCTTGAAGAAATTTCAAACAAAAGTTCAAGAACAAGCCTCAAGGGCCCTTGAAGAAATCTCCAGCCTAATTCAAGATCAAGCTTCGATGGCCCTTGGATCGACATCTACATTAAAGGACTTCAAAACGCATCTCCTACACGTGACAAGCACATGTCTACGGTGCGCCTTGAAGTGGGGGCATTTGTAGACATCGAAATTTCGATGAAATAAATGTTGATCAATAATTAAAATTTCAACGTTCACGTGTCACATAAATTTTTACACATAGTAGGTGACTCAACGAAAAATCGAGAATCATCAGAAAAGTCATCAAACAAGACACGTGTCAACACCTGGCATAAATGATTTATTTCATCTGCATAATATATTCAAAATTAGGCTTTGGAAAATTTTATAAATAGAAGCCATTTCATTCATTTTAGGGGACCAATTCATAACCAATTCACCTCACACCAAAACCTTGAAGCTTTGAAACTCCAAAGCTCCCAAGCAAATCCCAAAGAATCAAGAAAGCTCTCTTCGTTCTTCGTCAACCCAACCTTCAAGATCAAGCCCCAACAGCCCCTTTGAAGAACTTCCACCAATTCAAGATAAAGCCCCGACGACCCTTGAAGAAAGCGTTCATTGTTCATCATCCGTTCATCCTAAGATCAAACCCCAACGGCCCTTTGGATCAACAACATCAATAAATCCACACATCCAACCATTCTTCAAGATAAAGCCCAAAACCCATTTGAAGATCCGTTCATCAACAATTCTTCAAGATCAAGCCCAAAAGCCCTTGAAGATCCATCCATCAACTGTTCATCAAGATCAAGCCTTAAAGGCCCCTTGAAGATCCGTTCATCAACAGTTCTTCAAGATCAAGCCCAAAAGCCCTTGAAGATTCGTTCATCCATCAACCTTTAAGATCAAGCCCAAAAGGCCCCCTTGAAGAAACTTCCAACTATTCATTCGAGATCAAGCCTCGACGGCCATTGGATCAACATCACAATCCACAAATCAACACCTTACGGAGATCGAATCAGAGGATCAAATTTGAGAGAGATTGTAACCCCTAAATCATTAATACAAAATATTATTTTGTACACGTGTTCTTGTCTCGTTTGTTTCAGGAAAATTTCGTGTTTACACCTTGTCCTGCACAAAGAAATTTGTGTCATCACAGATAAACCAACATCGGTTATCTTTACACAGTTGCTTTATAGACATTAGATTCACAACAAAAGATGGAACATGTAACACATTTTTCATTATAATAGAGTGATAGGTGTTTTAATAATTGTAGAACCAATATTTTGAATTGTCAAACCTTGACCATTGCCAATTTTAATTTTCTCTAAACCTTCATAAGGAGAAACTTGATGTAAGCTAGCAAGATCAGATATCATGTGGTGTGATGCTCATGTGTCCACAATCCAATTTGCAGCATTGGAATATGATGTTGAACCTTAAACATTCATCCTTTGCATTGCAGGCTGTACTTGATATGAAATATCAGGTATTGGTATATTCTGTTGAGCATGTATCCCTTACATTGCATGTGGATGGAACTGATATGAATAATGAGCAGCAAAATTCTGAGGCTGTTGAACAAAACCCTGTGATTGAGAAGCAGGAGGTCCAGAGGGTTGGTAGTAGTAATTTCCCCTATGATAGCATTCCAGTGCACTATGTCCCCTCTTACCACAAATCTGACATTTAGTATTAAAATGTGGGGAAGTACTCTGAACAGTTTTGTAAAAATAGTTAGGAGTAGTGTGCCCATTTCTCTGACAGATTTGACATTCTGGATGTAAAGTAGTTCTTAACTCAGTGTTTCCATTCCAACCATTATTGTTCCTGTAATTAGACCCTTTGCCTTTGAATCTTGATCTGTAATTATTATTTCCTCTTGATTGTCCTCCATTGTTAAACCTTTGTTGATTTCCATTGAATTGTGCTGAAGATTGATATTGCCCCAAATTGTCTGTGGATGCTGCTCCATATTACCAACAAAACCACCACCTGAGCCATAAGAACTATGATCTAGAAAATAAACAGATTGCCCCATTTGAGACTGTGGAAATAATAATATTTTTTGTGGTAAATGAGTAGCTGTAATAACACCTCCTGTACTTGATGGCTCATTTGCAGAAGAATTTGAACTGGATGCACCATTGTTATACATAGAAGAACTTGAACCACCATTATTTCCTTGCATATACAGAGCAGCCATATTTTGAGTCAATGAATTCATCGCCACATCATTTTCCCTTTCAGCTCCAATTAATAACGCCCTAAACTCCTTCATAGTGACATTAGAGCCTCTCGCAAGTATAACAGTCCTAATAGTTGCATATTCTTTGGGTAATCCAGCAAGAGCAGCAATCATCACATCATTATTTGATACATATTCCCAGCAGCCATCAACTGATCCCTTATTGACTTGATCTTTAACAAGTATTTATCCATTGAATCCCCACCTTTCTGAATTATATGTAATTCCGTTTTCAAATGATTAACACCCGTCCTAGACACAGATGCATACCTTTCTTCAAGATTTGTCCAAGCTTCAGCAACAGTCTTACACCCTATAACATACTCTATATCATCATCAGTCAGCGTTGCTATCAACAAACTTAATAGTGACAAATCTGTGGTCTCCGAATCCTGAAAGGCAATAGTAAGTTCTTTAGTAACCCCAGTTTCTGCACTAACCACAAATTTCGATGGATAAGGGGCAGAGCCATCAAAATGATCGAACAATTTGTACCCTTTTAACACAGACTTGAATTGAAAAGACCATTTGGCGTAATTGTGCTCACCAAGTTGAATCGTCAACATACCCAACAATCCTTCAATTTTCACAGACGAGGCCATATCTACTATATATTTCAAGAATTAACCTTTTAACAAATCTTTGAATCCTGGCAATTTTCTTGAATCAAACTTCTAACTAAATCAGACTTCTTGAATCAATGGCATTGGCCTTCAGATTCCTTCTTAGCACAAAGTAATGGCATTGGCCTTCTTAAACTACCCAATGCATAACTACTACCTAATAATGGCATTGGCTTTCAAATCTTCATATACAAACTACTATCTTTGCAAATACAAACTACTATCTTCGCAAATTAAACAAAATACTAACCAAAATTACCAACCACAATCTACACAAACAGACCAAAATTGCCCAAAAACATTTCAAGAAAACTCAATGTATTGAAACTTTGTAAACATAGAACCTGAAATTTCTGCTGATTCCACCTTGATTGCATATAGAAATCCCCAAATCGCCACAAGAATCTTCCAAATCGCAAAAAAAAAAAAAAAAAAAAAAAAATTCCCAAAATCACCAAAAAAAAATCTGCAAACCATCATACTTCCATCAATGATTCTAACGAGCACCGACTCACACATGATCGGTAGGCTTTGATACCATGATAACAAAAACAAATGATTTCAAGAAAATGAAGATCAAAGAATTCAAGGAAATTAGAGAGAGAGAAATTAGAGAGAGAAAGAAGATAAGTAGCGGAAAAGAGATAGCTAACTGTATTGAATGAATAGCAAACATTTTACAACAGCTTTTATAATACCACATTCTAACTAATTTGCCTATGTTACCATCCTCTACATTTCTCATTATTACATTCTAACCAATCAGTAATTGACATCTGTATTTCAGTTAAAAGATGACTTGGTTACATATATATATGGACGCTTCTTTTGATATGGTTAATATGCATGCAAGTGCTTTTGTAAAAGCTGCTGGTGCCGCATGGGATGTTGCAATATTGGAGACGAAGATTGTATTCTGCTGGTTTATGGATCTGAGTCGGCTGAAGTTGGTGCTAGGGGCAAATTCAGATGGATAGCAGCCTTTTTTTAAACAGACATTTGTAGGGTTTTGTTTTCCACGTCTTTATGATATCAACAGTTTAGATGTTGGGACCATAAAATTGCGTCTTGGTAATGGTCGCATCCTATGCATATATATACAACAACATTTTTAACTTTTACAAATCACGCTTACCTGCTATCTAAAGCTTTGTTCATGTACGTTGACGTGATTTGGATCCATCCCTGCCTCTGCAAAGCTATGCATATAAGTACCCTGGGAAATTAGAACTTTAAAAATATTTTTTTATATTATATTATATTAAATTATGTTAAATATATTATACTATATTATATTATGTACACGCACACACTCACCACATGACATTAGAAAAGCAAAACAGAACAATGTATGTTTAAAATGCATGCCATTTATCTTTCATTTTTATCCCTTTCTCATATGTGTTTGTGATTTGTTATTATAGCTGCCAAGAGGTGTAACAGTTAATTTAAAAAGGCATTACTTTGAAGTGTCTTCTATCAAATTTCTTTCCAGCCTAATTGGATTAGGTTAGGGAGATTATGTTCCAGAGCATTGACCTTAAAACCACCTTAAGTCAACAAGAAAAATAGCTTTCTTTTTATTTTGTTCTAGCTAGCTGAATGTTTTAACTGTTAATTTTTTACATTAAATATACACGCCAGCCAACTGCATCTTTACAATTGAAATTAAAACATATTATGTATGATGGCTAACACGTGATATGCCGATGTATTTTTACAAATTACTTGTATTATAGCACTACTATGCTAATTGTCCATTGCCTTCAACAAGGAAGCACATTTTTCTTTGCCCTTTTATATTCTTTGGTGCAATGCAAGAGATTTTCACCTTCATAGTCCTTTGTCAAGCGAACCAACAACAAGATATCAAAAAAAAAAAAAAAAAAAGAAAACAACACACAAAATAAACTCCTTAGAAGTATGATTCTTTAACCACAAAATATTCATATATGACCAACACGAAATATAAGCTCACAAGGTCTAAACCTTAAAAGTCAGGCCCAACACCATCAACCCACATAAGGTAAACAATGTACCGTCACTTGAAAGCCTTGAAAATACAAACAGCTAAAAACACAGTTATGAATCCCCTCAAACCATCATAAAGACACCACAAAAGAAAGGCCACTCCACTATTGGTGGAGCTAGAAATTTTTGTGAAGAGGGGTTTCTTACAAAGGTTCTTAAAAAATGATACATCAAAGGTAATTAAAATTCCAAAATATATATGCATCAATAACATTTCATTCACAAAAATTACAAGTGTCCATCGCGAGTTTTCATATTTTAAAATCGTTGTATTAAAACCTCACCTCCTATATTATTAAATTATTGTGAGATCAATAAAAACTTTTACAAACTATCTTAACTCTCATGTAAGTGTAGAATAGAGAGGAAACAATAGAGAATTAAAGAAATTTGAGACTTATTTGTTGACTAGATTTGGGATTTGGATGATAAAATGTATGAGATTTCAAAAAGAAAGGGGAATAGCTTTGGAGTCTGGCTGCAATGTAAAGGAGGACTGTTTCTTAATTTTTATGACTAAAACTGAACTATTACTCTTCAAAGAAAGGTGAATTGTTGCTTTGATTTTAAATGCTATTAATTTGTGTTAGGGAGATAGATAAAATATTAAATTCAATTGTGAGATGGACCGATGGGGTTATGTTTGGAATTTGAAACTCAGGGCTTCAAGCAAATGAAAGATGCATAATTTCCAAATACATAAAAGTCAGGATAGGCCTTGGCCATCCCTAGTCTCCTGGGGCCTCCGCCATTGCACACCACCTTGATGGTCTTGCAATCATCAACAAAAAAAAAAAAAAAATTGCTATTTGAGTCACCTACAACAAACATCAAGTTTCCTCCTCATAGTTCTTGGCAAGTGCACAAACCACAAAACCACCACTTTGGATTTTAACTAAATAGTTGCCATTCTAAGAACCAAAGTAGAGTAGTATTTAAGTCATAACTGCTACAAAATACTCTCCTCGACAAAGAGAGATTGACCACAGCTACGAAGACTCCCCATGACAAAAAGGAGAGATCGACCACTGCCAAAATTAGAATGGAAAAAGAAAGAAGAGATCAAGAAGGATGGCAACATGCCTCAAGATAAGCTTAAGTCAGTGCACTACTACAGAAAACAGCTTTTAAGAGGAAAACAAGTTTGTCACGTAAAACAAAGTTTTATCACGTCAAAATTAGCGTGAAGAAAATTTTGTTGCCCATGCAAACAATTATGCGACGAAGACAAATATATGTTAGCGCAAGGAGCTTTGCGTGATGAAGAATTGCGACAAGGACATTCGTCGCACAAAAGTTCAAAGGACGAAGTCTGTAGTTTCAGGTTACAAATGGTTGTCATCGGGTTGACTTTCCGGCAATGACAAGTCTTCGTTAGGTAAGATTTGCACGACAAATTGGTTCGTTCAGTAAACAGGGATGCTACAAAATTTGTCCTATCATATTTAGTTTTCGAGTATTTTAAAGTTTCCGTAATTATAAATACGTCGTCGCTTAAACTTAATCGCGACGGAAGTCTTCCAAGCTTTAAATCTTAGGCGACGAATGATGTTACTCATGCAAAGTGCTTTCTATATTTATTTTTTAATTATTATTTTTTTAATTAAATTACATATTTAATAATTTTTTTGTTAAATTATTTAATTAATTTAAAACACAAAAAGAATAATTAATTTAATTATTATTTACATTATATATGAAAATGTACGTACAAAAAAAAAATGATAATATCCTAATAAAAAAATTATAAAAGCTAGTAGTCGGCGTTTGCTAGGTCAAACGGCTAGGTATTTGTTGGGTGGAGTGGCAGCGAACCCGAAGTTTGAGGTGGCTGAAAAGCAATTGATGACATCGGGAATTGAAGTCAGACAACTAGATGGCATGTAAGATCTGGCTCATCTGAAAGCCCTGGATCCTAATTTGGTCGCTCTAGGCCACAAAGTGCCGTTGCAAGTCCTCAATTCACACTATCAAAAGTGATCGCCTATCCCAAGCTTTGTCTAGAAGAAGAGAAGGCTGCAGTCAATGGCGAAGTCAGAAATTTTCAAGGGGAGGGATAAAATTTAAAAGCATACAAGGTTCCAAAAAAATGTAGACAACAAAATCCTTTTATATAGTTAAATATTTAAGTGTCGTTCATAATGTATCAATACAAATAAGTTACAATTGTTGCCGGCAATGTTTCATGTCATGAAAACGTTGCATAATAAGCTTATTACCAATAAAAGCAAAAATATATCTCTTAATGTAAACAACAAAGCTATCACCCAATAGTTGAACTCCTATTTTGTTATGCAGTGGTATTTTGAAAAAACTTATAGCAAAAAACGTTTTCTCTACTGAAACAGTTGCAACTGATAATACCAAATCAATGTAAAAAGCTTATAAATAGATGTAATCATGAATCTTTTGAGTTCCAAAGTCTAGTGGGAGTCTCTTCAAGTCTCCGAGTGAGAGTAATTACCGAAAAATGTGATTTAATTTTGTCAACATGTCGAGACCAAAGTATTGAAACTTGTCTTTTTGTAGTTTTCCTCATCCTATTATTGCTTCAACCCAAATTGCCCTCCTTTTTCTCTTGTGGGTGCGACCCAACCCTTTTTATTTTTTTATATCAACTAGGCCCAAGTTTTGGGCCCAATGCCTTGACTGCAGTAGCCCAGGACCTCATTTGTTTCTTTTGGTTTTTAAAAGTTTCTAGCCCAAAATTACATCTCCTATTTGCTCACATTTTCACACACCAGCGCCACTAGTTTTCCTTCGAGCTTCAAACCCCATATGTGTATGAGATCTGTGAGGTGCAGGGGTTTGAATAGGGAAAGGAGAACGGGTCATGAGTTTGGGTTTTGATGGCTGAAATTCTTCTTCCTCCTCCTCTAAGATTTTTGGAACTTTGTCCCTCATGGCGTTACAAGTTTTCCAATGGGACCGTAGGGGCGGACCGTTGCTCCTGGGCTTAATTTCTGACAAGGGGAGGCGCAACTGCCCCTCCTTGCTTCTATGTAGCTTCGCCAGTGGCAATAATGTTACGGTGTCGCGCACTCCCTATCCCTTAGTAAACTTTACTAGGCCTATGACCGAGAGTCTCATTTCAGGTCTCAGTCACAATCTAAAGACCCATATCCTTTCTCGGAGTAACTTCCTCGATAGGGGTCTCTGGGGGAAGCTGTGATGCCACCTCTTGGAGAAGAGCAATGTTATTCTCGGAGTCGCGCAAGTGTAATTTTTATTAAAAAAAAATAGAATAAAAGGAAAAAAAAAGATTTCATACTAATGACAAAAAAATAAAACATAAGCAAATTAATGAATAAAAAAATAATTTTTATTTATAATATAAATAAAAATGTATGTACAAATATAAAGTTTTAAAAGAAAGCAGGAACAAAACTATGAAAAAAAAGCGGAAAAATCTATAGGCATGTCGTTCGAAGGTGCTTGGTAATCTTGTTGTTGGTTAGGGACGAGGTCGGAGGTCGACAGGCCTGATTACTGTGCTTGCTCGGTGTGGAAGGGTTGTGAAGGCGATGGTGCAGAAAAAACGGGGAGATGTTTTCTGGAGGAACTGAGGGCTTGTACAAGTATCGACATTTGAGACTTGTATGATGCCAGCTCACTCTTCAGGCTAGCGACTTCCTGCGTTAAAGTCGTAACCTGGCCCTTTGACTGCGAGGATGACGAGGCTCTACTCTCCCGCCGCCTGGCATTTCCCATCCCCCGACAGTAAGTCCTTGGCGTCCGACCGAAAGTCTGGTCCAATGTCTCTATCATGATGTGAAACCCTACATCCTCAAGGGGATCCACGTACTCGATCGGCGAGCCCAAGGGAAGCTGGGAGGTAGACTCCTGAAGCACTGACTGACTCTTTTCCACCATTGTTGCCTGTGAAAAAAAACATGGATTATTAAGAGAAAACAATTTGAAATAATTAGTTTAAATGTTTAATGCATAAGAAATTACTTACATGAAGGGACTCGGTCAACTCATCCCCAGGCCGAACATAAACGTCAACAAAGATGTCGATCTCCATTGAACCCTCATGAAATTGAAAAAGACAAGGAAAATGTTAGTAGCAAAAAAAATTAGTGATATTTTAAAATTGGAAATGAAAGCTATAATATATACCCTTCGTCGTGCCTCCATCCTATAGGAGAAAGGTCTCGAACCTGAATGGTGGAGAAGAGCCTTCTTCTCCCGATTGATCTTGTTTGCCTTCGCCTTCTTCTGTTATACAAAAAATAAAAGTATTAGTTGTAATACTTAAAGAAAATTTAAAAAATAATAATAAACAATTGTAAAAATTAAAAAAAGTAAAATGAAAGAAGTCGTACTTAAAAACGCACCACATAGCCTGGCTCCTGAAAATGACCGCAAAGCCAAACCTAACTATCTTGTCAGTCCTCCAACTCCTTCGGACAACCCTTCTCGAGAGTGACCTGTTGATCATCAAACTGCTGGAAACATTGGTACAGGTCACTGTTCCACTGCTTGTAGCGTTCGGAGAAGAGCAGATTGAGGTACGTGAACATGTCCTCGTCCATGTCCTCCAAATTGTAGTTTGTTTGCAATGTAGCAAATATTTTGAAAGTATTAGTAATATAAGACAGTAATAAATATAACTATATAAATTTTACATGAAAAGCATTAAAAAGGCGATGCTACTTACGGACAATTGGTTGCGCACCGTGTTCTTTGTCTCCTTCGGCATCGCCTTCCAAGACTTCCACCGCGTAGGGTAAAAGGTCCGCACGACATGCTCAATGTCATGGGCCAATGCACTATGCTGCTCCACCGTTGGTGTTGCTTGATGTCACTCATCGTATCCAATTAGGATACGACCATTGGTTACCCGGGTGACCTTCGCCGTCTTCAATTACTGACAAGGTTCTCGGGTGTTTTTTTTCGCTGCAAAGAGATGATAAAAAAATTATTAACCCAAAACTAATAACAAATCCTACTAAAATTTCAGCATAATCTCCCCTATAATTAAAACATTTCCCAAAACCCTGAAAATAACATAAACAATATACGTATCCAACACTATGATCACAACAGTTTAATAAAAGGTTCGGAACAATGACAAATTTTTAATCCTTACATGACATAACTTAACAAATTGAACCTAAAATAACAAAAGTCAGTTAATATTCGCATACATTTTCTTCCTTTATTTCTCTTGAAAGTTACTTATTGAGCATCCTAACTACTTTCTATTTGAGGCCACTATTTCCTTTCTCCTAATTAGAACATATTTCCAATTTGAGCATTTTCAAATACCACAACAAACTTTTAAAAATGGGGACAACTGCCATCCAAGATGACCAATTTTTGAGCTTGTATACACAGGCTCTCGACATTGTTGGCAACAGGCTTGACAAAGAATTCTAAGCTGCCGTATCAAACAATTCCATATAACCTCATCCACATTGACATTTTTAAGACTGACAGTCACAACCGAAACTTCTACGACTCTAAAAATTTAGCTTCATGATAATTACCAAGGTTTTCATTTCCCAGTTAAACATTTTCGCCATTTCCTTAGCATCAAATCTCTTTCACAACATTACCATTTCAATTCCGTGAGAAACCCATTTCAGTAACTAAGAAATGACACATAAATTAACAAAAAAATTGCAAAAACATAAAAATTAACAGAAATGAATTATAGAATACAAATAATTTCGATTTCATGATAAAACCCATTTCTGAAAGCGAAGAAATTGCGAACAAAAAAAGAGAAAACAATGGAAACTTTTTAATCCTTACATGACTTAGCTTAACAAATTGAACCTAAAATAACAAAACTCATTTAACATGGGAATGAGGGAGTGAATTAGGATTGTATACTTGGCCGTGTACCCGAGGCATCAGTTGTGGATCCCGATGGCGACATCTGGTCCGTAGTGCGGGGGTGTTGGTGAGTTCATCGAGCGCTAACAGGCAATGCCACCGAAGAAGTCGACGATGCCTATGCATGTGGGACTGGAGGACCAACTGGGTCAACTGGATTGATTGGCCTATGGTCCATCTTGACTGAAGCAGTGGCGGCAGTAGTAGGTGTAGTGATATGACTAGGTATAGCCGTCGAGCTAGGTGTAGAAGTCATCGCCCTCTGAGTTCTAATGAGGTGTGACATCTACAAAATTGGAAATCAATTTGTTTCATACACAAAGATTTAACCTACCGTACACATGCTAATAATTTCAACTTAAATTTAAAACGAAATTTAAAAACCCAAACTTAAAAACCCTAATTAAAAACCCAATTCAAGTTTGGCAGAAGCAAAACTTAAAACTGATATACTATACACAAACTAATTCATTAAGATAGGATATAGACCCATCAATTATAACTTATAAGAAGAAACTAGCATAAAGGACAACGATACAAGTTTACTATCTAAAATCAAACAAATGTGAGGTGCCTTGGATATCCTTACTACCTTATGTTTAAATAAAGACCTCACAACAAATTAATAATGTGAGAGAGAGCATATCACTATGTACTAGTAAAATCCAGATTTGCTTATATCATGTGGGCTCCCATATCTTTGAATAATAATAATAATGGAGTTCACAAACAGATTTCATTTGATTTAATGTGTTCCTATTTGTTTGTTATACCTAATTACCATGACATTGCCCTATTTGGCTGAACATATATTTTACATAAAAATTTCCCATTTTTTGTCGTTCTTGGTGAATTAAGTATAGCTAGACCTAGGAGAGAACCCATTCATGACATTAATAATAATGGAGTTCACAAACAGATTTCATTTGATTTAATGTGTTCCTGTTGGTTTGTTATACCTAATCACCATGACATTGCCCTATCTGGCTGAAAAGATATTTTACATATAAATTTCCCATTTTTTGTCCTTCTTGGTGAATTAAGTATAGCCAGACCCAAGAGAGAATCCCTTCATGACATTCCTAAAAATGTAACTTCAAAATTGGGAGGCCGAATTCAACAAGCAACACAACTGAGTCTATCATATTAATAAGGCAACAACAAAGTCTAATACCCCATTATATATCAAGAAATCGTGGCAGTCAACAATGCAAATCTCTAAAAAATTATTCCACAAATGTATAGTGTAATTCAATTTTTTTTCTTTCAAACCTACAATAGAGAACACATCCTACAATATCTTAAATTCCAAAATAAAAACCACAAACATAAATATATTTCATCTAACCGTAATAAGAGAATTAAAAGGGTGACTTATACGATATAAAGATAAATAAATAAAAGGATTGTTGCATAGTGAAAAGTGTAAGTGCAATGTTGTGGATGCATAGAACACAGGAAAACATTAACAAATCCCTAATTTAAGAACCCTGTACGTAAATTAAAACAACCCCTAATTCGAACCCTGTACTTGAAATTAAAAAACCCCTAATCTAAGAGCCCTAATCTAACCCCCAGTGAAGCACCCTAAATCTAACCCCCAATTTAAGAAAACCTAATCTAACCTCACTGCCCAAAATCGTTCCCCTAATTTAAGACCTAAATCTAACCCCAATTAAGAACCCTAAAAACTCTAATTTAAGAATCTAAATGTAACCTCCAATTTATGAACTCTAAATCTAACCCCACCGCCCCCAATTTGAAAAAAATAAAAACCCTAATTCTAATCCTCAGTCAATAAACAAAATTGAAACTAAAAACGGAAGAGGAAATTACCTCTTGGAGAAGAAGCGATGACGGCATGAGAGAGGGACGGAGAGACAAGGTGAGTGAAGGAGAGATGGACGGAGATAGAGATGAAGGAAAGAAAGGGTATCGTGCGGGGAAAAAAAGGAAGAAGAGGGAAGTGAGGGAGGAACGAGATGAACGGGGTTAATAATATAGAATCTTGTGCGATGGAGGCTTTGTCTTGCAAGGCTAAACAATCGTTGTGCAAGTTTTTTAAAATTTCCTTCAAAAAAAAAAAATGCCTTAATTGAATTTTTAGACTGACACACTCCGACCCGGAATGTCTACTAGGACTCCGAATCGAGTTGTGCTGGCCGACACCTGGAAGATGATGAAGCCATAAAGGGTGATTATGTGGAAAATTGTGAATAAATTTAATACTAAGAGTGCCTAAATACCAGAGTGCACTGGTAAGCGGGAATAAACCCACTTCACACGTGATGTTAGAGCATAAGCAAGTACAAAAGATTGAATTAAGAATCGTACCCTCGAAATAATCTCCAATACTAAGAATCGCCATGAATCTTCTATGATAAGAAAGCTCAGCTAATAAAACCTGGAGGGTGAAGACAAAATAAGGGTGAGTGGCCATGTAAGTAAAATTTTTATAGAAACCATATAAAACATTATAACCCCTCGCTACAACACCTGTATAATTTCCAGAAAAAAAATCATAATATACCACAACACAGCATCTCATCAATAATATCAATTAATCATGCGATTAATAACTCATACTAGTACGCAAGTCGGAGTCACCTAGGGTGACTTGTACGACTTACCCATATCTCATCACATATACTAGTTCATCACATATTTCATCACATATTTTTGCTCGTCACATATTCAGCAAATATGCTAGCTTATCACTGTTGGAAATGTGCCCTAAAACCAATCATGTGATGATGCTTTACGGACATTTCACATGTTAAACTAATCTAGTTTAATATAAAGGGCAAAGATTATTGTTTGAGCCGTCTCATATAAATGTTATATGCTTAAACGATAAAGTCCAAGGAATATGTGATTGGGAGAATGTAATCTAATGAAGTTAGATTCATGAGACCATTCTTTCGTAGACACATCCTAAATGTTCCTGATCATAGGATTGCCAATTGGGCATTGACAGTCCGTCAAGATCAGTACGTGCTATGTCTTCTCTCAGGGAGAGTGACTAGTTTCGAGTCATTGGTGTGTGTGACATCAAGACAAGTACGTAGGTGCTCAGTAGAGAATGAGTTCACTGAACGCGATCAACGAAGAGTTCTCATACTCATGTCACATGAGAACTCATGGTTGGGATAATGCAAAGTAGTCCTTTGACCTGAGGCATCACAGTTGTCTTGTGGTTAAGTCCTTGATCTTTGATTATGTCAAAGTCACCCCATCAGGGTGTCCATGGCATCGTTGGGGTTAAGCCACTTAGCCATGGAGGCAAGTGAATGCGCAACAAGGGATCTCTAACCTTCAAACTGTTTGAGGGAGAATACTCTATGATATGATTTAGAATCTCTGGCCAG